CATCTGCATTCAAACTAGGTGCAGCTCAAAATCTTGACCTGATTTTGACTTCACATTTTCGGCTTACCTAGGCTCATTTCAGAGCAGTGTTGATATTGGTTCAATTTCAATACTAATTGCTTCTCTGTAGAGTTCTATATCATTGCAGATTTTATTTATAATAACATACGGATAGAGAATGAAATATACAGAACAGAAGCAAATTATCCCTTAACTACTTACAAAAAGATAAGTATCAGGGTTCTTATGAATAGTACCCAGGCCCAGGCGCCTTTAATCATAATGCTAGACAACAATCACTGTCCTTGTCGATCTCTGAAGCTTCTTCTGAACAGAAAGCTATAGCGAACGGCAGAACACATAAAACCCAACACACCACCGGTATAGTTAAGGGTAGAAACAATCCAACAAAAATGAAGAAGGCAGAAAGCATGGCAGCAACTCCTAATAGCTCTAACACTAGGGAGAATCCGTTGAATGTTCGACGCAGCAGAATCCCATTCCAAATCGAGGTTACCCCAACTGATAGAGAGAGTGCAGTGAAGCGTAGAATCAAGGGGATATCTTTCATCCTCTTATAGCAAGAGAAGAGGCCAACAATCATTGGTATTGCAAGAACTAGAATATGCCTTCCCAGTTGCTCTTCACGTAGGAGTATGAAAACTGGGTGGAAATCTTTAGGATCAGAAGGAATGCCCAGAGACAACACTTTTGAGCTTGACTTCTTCGTCAACTTCGGCGTGGTTGTTTCTGATCTGTCAGGACATGGCGGTGCTGCCTCTTGGAGTGGTGGGATTGATGGCGGCAATGGTAATGACACTGAGCAAGACTCTGGATACATTTTGGCTTCCATCTCAAGATGCATAGCTGGAGATGGAGGTATAGAAGACTCTGTCGATGGTGGTATTGTTTCTTGATCAGTAGACCCATTAAAGAAAATGAAGAGATGAAAACAAAAGGTTCTAATGGTCGACGTGAACCCAGAGGACGATGCAGCGATTGGGTTACCACTGGTACTGTCGTCTTCCATAGCTGAATCAGTGGGAAAAGACCAAAACTCAGCAATGAATTTATGGTTTAAGCTGTTGCAAAATATAGACCTTCGACTCTTTTGGGGAGATGTGAAAACAGTCTTTCTAGAATAAAAATTGCCAAGATACCTATATGGCTATATTATCCATTGCTTGCGGGCTGCGGTTAACAGCTAAGCCAAATATTCTAAGGATATAATTCATCCAGTACAACTAACTCATTCCTCTGAAGAAAATTCTGCAAACATCTGCTTTCATCGAACGACAACACACCAAAACAATCACTATCACGCCTAT